CATATTATGTATGTGGTGGCGAGGTGGTGGGGTGGCAGCGCTGGAGCAGTTGGAGTTATGGAGATCTGGAACCACGGCAAGCCCCCCGTGTTCTCCCAGACCCCCCACAGTTTGGGATGTACTCTACATCTTGCTCAGGTGAGAAAATGAGTACCTAGCTTCAATTAGGGACATCCTTTTGGATAAAACGTTAAGTTGGAGGTCCTGTGCTTGAGGAGAGCCACACCTTGACTTGAGCAGGTTAAAGACCCCACTACAATTATCGAAAAGAGTAAAGAAAAGAAAAGAGTAGGGGTCCTTTCTGGTTGCGATATATAGTGGTTCAAATATTATAGTCTGGTCATAAAAAAAGATTTAAAAATTAACATGTAGTCATGGTGAATGTTCTAATCTTTCCCCTCCAGATCCTGTTGGTACCCCTGGTAGCATCAGTTTCTGGAGCCTGAAGGGACGTCTTGGTCTGTTCACTCGGAAGGGTGAGCCTGGTAACTACTCGCTCGATGGAGCTGTGGGGCCGATGGGAGCACCTGTTCCTGTTGGTGCACCTGGCATACCAGGTGAGAAACTGTTGACGCTATGAATCCATTTTCAATCCCTCGTAGGCCCGAGTGTTGTGTCCTTGGGCCTCTCTTGACTCAGGTGAGGAAATGAGTCCCTAGCTTTGGTTAAGGACATCCTCTTTTACTGAAAGATTTCTACGATGTCATACCCCAGTAGTCCAGTTGCAACAAAAAAATTATCTCCAAAATACATTTTGTACTGCAGTCTGGCAGGATCTCTGTTCTTCTTGATCAGATTCTGTTGTTTGTGTTGCTCTATCTGCAGCTGACTACCAGCCAGGTTGGTATCCAAGTGACATGAGAGATGCCGTGAGGGATCAAAGCAGAGGTTGGATGAAACTGCGGCCGAAAACATTTCAGGTAAAAAGTGCTTCTGCTTGGAGAGAAAGCCCTGGTCTTTGTGCTCGTGGCCTTGCAGATGGTATCGGGGACCCTGGCCTTTGTGGTACTGACCCTGATGACTTATAGCTACCCAGGACTCAGGACTCTGGGATTTCAAAGGTGTAGCTAATATGGGATTGTATTGATATTTAATGGGAGGAGGTAAAGAGGGCCCGGTAAAATTTTTTCAATGGCCCTCCTCTCCTCACTTTTTTATGCCCCTTTACATGAAACACAATAAAAACTGTTAGTGTTCTTTGAATGGGACAGCGGATATGGACGTACAATGTACTTAGGTTTGCCAAAACGCATGCAGTGGGCAGCAACTGAGCTGGTTTATGAGTATGTACCAAAATTTTAAAGATTGCAATGTAGGCATACTCCCCGTTAAAATTTTGATTTTTAGTATTAGAGTGGTTGTCTGTTGCTCCTTGTACCACCAGTACATGTATCACTAGTACATGTACCTCTCCCTATATTATCACACGATTTTTAAAAAGATTTGCACGGAAAAATGTTCTGCACATTCAGGTTTGTTTATTGAAAATATCAGTCAGGGTACCCTATCCCCCAGTGCATCAGTCCCCCCCCCCCCGCTAAAATAAAAAACAGTCCCAAGGTCTCTCTATTGGAGGGCTACATAAACTTTAGGGTGTTCCACATGACTGCAGGGTAGACATCATGGTGTGTAAACAGGCCACAGAACAACCATTATATAGTGTTAAAATCAATGCACGTGCGGATGTCATCCATAAAATTAAGATCGGTGTATATATAGGAACAAGATAGACAGATACACAACGACCATATTTTACAGTGTTGCATATTAACTTTGGAAGCCTGACCTGCTATGTTTTTATAGTACAAAAGAGACTGATACTTCATATCGTCATTGTGCTTTTTACAGGTCAAGGGGCTTCTTGAGGTTGTTGAACAGGAAACAAGCTGGGAAGAGGACACAAGCAGGGGAGAGAACACAAGCAGGGGAGAGAACACAAGCAGGGGAGAGGACGCAAGCAGGGGAGAGAACACAAGCAGGGGAGAGGACGCAAGTAGGGGAGAGGACGCAAGCAGGGAAGAGGGCACAAGCAGGGTAGAGGACACAAGCAGGGAAGAGGACACAAGCTGGGAAGAGGGCACAAGCAGGGTAGAGGACACAAGCAGGGAAGAGGACACAAGCAGGGAAGAGGACACAAGCTGGGGAGGTACAGGTTTTGTGTCTTCACCGATCATACTTGCATTTCATGACCTGGCCCTGCAGGGGACAAAAGACCCTGAGGTCTGGGAATGGGATGTTGGTCTTGTTGGAGGGCCTCATGACTACATGAAGATATCATTATACTAGTGTAATATGCCAGAATATACTCTGCCCAGGGGTACTTTCTGGCCTGTTACAACAGGCTGAGTGCCTACATGATATCTTCTGTGTTCATGTACTACAGCAGTCCTCCGTAGAAACCACTGCTGTAGTGACCACTTCTGTGACAAAGCCGGTGAAGGGACAGTGAATGGCAAGCTTGTCATGGCCTACTAGTAGGTATCTGCTGTTTAAAATACTGGTTGTGTAGCAGTGGTGGTCAAAAATTGAACAAAAAGACAAAAAAAAAAAAATTATCAGATTATCAGCAATTGGCCTTTATCTGTCAGGTATCCTTCATCATGAAGATTATCCTTGTTTCAGAACTCAAACAAATTTATAATTTGCTCACATTTGATTTTAATGATTTCCAAAAATACCAATCCCCATATGAGTGTAATAATGCAAATAAGGAAGCCAAAACTATACATGGCACAATATTACAGTTGACTACATGTAGTGTTGGGTAACAAATAAAAGTCACCCCATGTTATGAAGGTTTTTTTCCCCAAATTGGCAAAACCAAAGAAACAGCAAAAGGTATGCAGCAAGAGTTATGAAAACAATTGATCATAACAATTTGGAGATACTGAAATGTTGAATTATAAGCATGTATTCTTGTGCTAAATCTGATTATTTTGTTGATTCTTTACCCCCAACTTGATGGATAGAGGTTAAAGGCTGTTATAAGAGACAACAAGGATTTGTTTTTGCTTGCTTACTTGCTTCATCATGCTGTTTTATCCTGTTATATAATGTGATAAATGCTAAATCACAGTGCTTGTGATAAGGAGTTGTATGCCAAGGCTTGTAAAAGTTGTATTGCTTACTTGCTTATGCTCTTATAATATAGACCCTGTTATATTCTGCTATTATTATGATCATTGTGATATGGCATGTTATGGATGTTAAAATGGTTTGCCTAAAAAGTTTATTGCACCCTCAATGATGGAAAAGTATTAACACTGACAGACTCTACTGGTTAAATACCTTGTTACATACAATTATCCAACATAGTATACATTCAGGAAGTGTCACCATCAGTTAACTAACTTTAATTAATGCCTTTGACAATGCATACTAGGAGGGATTAGAGTTATGATTGAATTTTTTTTTAAATGAAGATTTTTTGTATTTACAACTGGCTAATGTACATGTGAAAAGTTTTCTAAGGCTCCCATCCACACCTACATTCTATACATATGACATGTCCAAATGTACATGTAAATCACCTGTACTACTTTCAAATACCACATTGAGTTTCACATCTACATGTATGTTTTTAACAACTAACTGGAGTGCATGAGAATTGCATTATGTGTATAATGACAATTTTTAACACCTATATTTTTTAAGCTGTGTTAAGTATACATCTATGTATATATAATGTGCCTTTCACAATAAAGCAGAATTAACAGGGCCAGTGGTTTTCTTGAGTCCTTTGTTGTCAACTACAACTGTATTGTAAATTTGTTAGAGATATTTCACAACCCAGTGAGTAGGATTTTTGCTCATTGACAATATGGTATACTGATAAATGCATGTTTTCTGCAGCCACAAGCAATGCAAACTGCGTTGACTTAAATTTTAAACATTTAGCTAAATCACAATTATGGTGAGTATCATTGTGTTACAGGCAGCATTGTGTGTTTCTCTCATGGTCCTTTGTGAAGTCAGGTAAACAACAAAGCAGGTGTGTACACCTGAGACACAGATCACATGACCAAAGGTAGAAAGTCCCTGCAACCTGTTTCTAAAACTAGACATGAGTCATTGGACTTCCCATTACACCTGTGCTCTGATTGGCTATAGCTTAAGACTGGGGATTCCCCTTAGCTATAAAAGCAAAGAACAACCGCCATCTTCCTCTTTTGCTGTTGGACCCTGCCAGGGCAAGCACGCAAGGAGCTCGAGGTAAGCAATCAGTCATTTCTCATGCAGCTAAGTTGAACATGAACGATGCACTTGTTGGCATAGCATATATAGCATATATTAGCCATACTTGCAATTCGAGGATTGCCAGTTATATTGGCATTTGACATGATTTTCAAGGGGGTAAGGTGGCCTGTTACATGTACTGTAGGAGCATGATTTAGTCTTGAAGCTAAAGGTCACCCCTACTTGATAAGTGTGTTGGGTTGTTTAGTGTGCACAGTTCACTGCATTTTGCACAGTCATTCAGTTTTCTCAAAAACGTTTTATAATAATAATAGATAATAACGTGGGTAGAGTACAGATGACCTGTTCTGCTTTCAGGAACTGTATTTACTTTCTCATACCATTGTTACGGAACTTTCTATGACTTGGGACTTTCCATGACTTGGGACTTTCCAAGACTTGGGACTTTCCATGACTTGGGACTTTCCATGACTTGGGACTTTCCATGACTTGGGACTTTCCAAGACTTGGGACTTTCCATGACTTGGGACTTTCCAAGACTTGGGACTTTCCATGAGTTGGGACCTTCAATGAGTTGGGACTTTCCAAGACTTGGGACTTTGAAAGTATGAGTATAATAACATCAGGCATGTGGTCATTCAATAAGGATGTAAGCCTAACTCTTGACTGGTCAAATTCTACCCACCATTGAATCTGTGATAATACATGTACTCCATTCCTATCATGCAAAACCCTGTTCATGTTTAGAAGAGAACACACAGAGAAAAAGCTAATAGTATTTTTTTAATGTCAATATAACCTTTACCTGTTATGCAGCCTCAAAATACAACATTTAAAATCTTTCCATGTACTACCTGCAGCTGTATGCATAATTTAGATGTGTCAGAGTTCAAACAACGTCATGACTATTTATTATGAACAAAGGGGCATACCACCATGACTTACCAGGTGGAAATTCCCTGAGTATCATTTCTAAAAGACGATATGATTTCATGGGTTTTTCCATGACATACCCCTTACTGATTGGCCACTGACATTGGGGCTTCCCCCTTTCCTTGAAGCTATAAAAGCCAGGCAACAAGAGTCAATAGTAATCTTGCTCCCTAGCTGTGTTACTGGAAGCAAAGTCGGAGGTAAGCCCAGGTCTTTTTATACATTGGCAGAATGATAGTTACAGTAATGATGTAAGAGCTTTGTTATTTGAAAATAACATATGGAGAGGGTACAGACAACCTGCTGTGCATTAGACAATGGAACTGTATTTACTTATTGTAGAAAACATACTATTATATGTTACAGTATTTGTTCATGCATATCTATTACACACAATAATGGATCCTTCTTTACAGGTCAACTGTCACAAAAGGGAATTCCAAGTCTAAGAGTCCTCATACAGAAGACCTGACGTTACATCAGAGTTTTCCTGTCAAATTACACTTCAAAACCAGAGATGGCAGACATCACCTTCTCAGAGGTAAGCACCTAATCAGAGCTCACCTGACAGAAAATATCAGAAAGTGCATGCAGGAACACACAATTTTTGTTTATGGAAATTGGAAGTGGCCATTTTTACATGTTTGTATATACTTAACTCACAAATATGCTTACTACATGTATACTAAAACCACAAGAACATTACTGTAATATTTATTCCTCTTTTAGATGATGGGAGGCTCTGTCTGCAAACCAAAACCTGAGGGGGATACACTATCAGGTATGCATCATATGAGGGTAAAATCAGAAAGAATGTTGGGGTCAAGAATGAAGTACATTTTAAGGATTTTTTAAATAATTTTTTTAGCAGTGTCAATCAAACTTCAAATCAGTGTCAACAATACGAACAATATGCTGTATGTTGCTTCTCCTTGCAAAAAAAATTCTGGATATCAAGATTTAATACCTTGAATCAGAATCAGAATCCATCCCGATTAAGTCAATAACTCCCATTCCAGCTGTAGTACACATAATATGGTACTTCGCATTCAGCAGCTGATGATGGATACAAAATGATACATTATATGAATATATCATCTTTTCACAGCATTCTTTGCTGGAGTGTTTAGTGACGGGTTGGTGCCTTTATGGGATGGAAGGGGCAAGAGGTATTCATTTTTTCTATGCCACACAGGGTGCTTTGAAGGCTTATAAGTGGTAACCATCTCAAAGTCAACAGAAATTTTGGATAACAAGATGGTGGTATAATTTATGGTAACATCTCAATTCCTCTGAGCAGCCATACTGCAAAAGTTTAACATCTGACATTGCTTGTTTTCCGCAGTCTTAGTGTTCAACTCAAGCTAGGAGTAGGAAAGTCATCATTCCTAAATGATCCGTTGAAGCTGCAGCTGCAGGTACTACTTTAACATTTCCACTTTTACCGCACTCCCCTTACTCTGCAGAGTGGCTGTCAGCACATACATTGTAACCTCACTAGTCCAGAATACACTGAACTCTGTTGGAAACACAACCTATTGATATTACGTAGTCATACATGTACTCGTAGATAAATAAACATTTGCACTTTGATTGAATTGCCTACTACCTGTAGTATGCATTTAATTTCAAACACCCTCTATACCAAACAATTATCAATAAGAAAAGTTTGGATGTTCAACAACCCTAGTGACTTCGTAGAACATTATCATTTACATATTTTTGTATGTAGGAACAAAGACTTACTGTAAAATGATCTTTGTGTATACAATTTACATGTATGTCTGTCTTTATTGTGTACATATTGGTTTTTACAGTATGCAGGTGCACATGACTTTAAATCATAATGTGCTTTCACAGGACAGGCTTCTGCAAAGGACAAGCTTAAGGGAGATTGTCAAAGAGGACACAAGCTGGATATGGCAAAATGCTTCCATCACAATCTTGTGTGGTGCAGGGGACAGTGGATAGTAAGCCTGACACAGCCTGGCTACATGTACATGTATCTGCTGTTAAAAATACTGGTTGCGTAGCAGTGGTGGTCAAAAATTAGACAAAAAAGACAAAAAAATCAGATTATCAGCAATTGGCCTTTATCTGTCAGATATCTTTCATTTGTTATAAACAGTCATTATTTTCAGAAAGTCATACTTCAGAAAAGTTTACATTTGCACATTTCTGATTTTGATGAGTTTCAAGAATAACAGTACATGTAGCTACACACTGTACATGTATCTATACCAAAATACCAAAGGCAAACAAAGAAGCCAATTTGTTATACATGTACACTATATAGTGTAATACATAATACATGTATTAAGTGTTAAGTGTTATCTTTTCCTGGTATGACTAAAATGTTTGTGTATAAGGAAAATGATATCTATGATGGTATACATGTAGCTGAGACACAAGTACAAATGTTTCATGTACAAGAAAGGAGAAAGTTTTGGAGCTGCTTAACTACTGACTGATAAGGAAATGGAAAGACTTGTAAACTTTTGATGCATTGATATTTTTGTTCTCCTTGTGTGCAGTGTGTCTATAATTACATTTACTGGATGGTTCAAACATTTAGCATTCTTTCAGTTGTAATAATATAACCAGCACCATCAAATATAAAAAGAGTACATGTATTGTGAAACGTTGTGTGCCTACTGTGTTTTCTACTAGCTTTCTGCTAGTTAGCTTAGGTAGGCATGGCTGTGTGTCTTCATACAGCCTAACAAATAAATCAAAGTGAAGCAAAGTACAATATATTTAGATTAAATGAAAACATGACTAACATGCTTTCTGCCATAACAGTACATGGCTCTTCTGCCTAACTCCACAGGTATCACAAACAGACTCTGATACATTTGTACACTCTTGTATTTAAATCTTATTATCATTATAAAACACATGGCAGTCTCTCTGGTTACTGGTTTACAAAAAAATCAGTGGAATGAGTCAGTGATCAAACTTTCCTTGCAAGATGTCTACATTAATCAATATTTATTAATTATTACTGAGTTAGACATTAAGTTGTGGGGACTCGCTTGTCATATCTGTGTTTGCAACAGTGTAACATTAATGGTAAAAGATAAGGTAAACTTAAATTTAAGGTACATTTTGTCCAAAAGCCATTTTGAGACTAAAGGTGCAGTGGGTTGTTAATCCACTGTGTCCATTAGGGAAGAGCATTGGAAGGTGGAGCCCATCCCTCTCCTTCCATCAACTTTTACCTCCCCAACCTAAGTCAGGTACCCATTTTACACCTGGGTGCAGTGAGGAAAGTTATGGAAAAAGCCTTTCCCAGGGACACAATGACTAGCCAGGGATCAAACCCATGATCGAACCTCTCAAACTCTTCTAGTCTAGCCACAAATAGAACAACAAGCTTAACAAAACCTGCAATAGCATATTATCATATCTCACATGGGACTATTTCCTACTATGACAGCTGTAGCACAGATGACTTCATCAGAAAGATTATGTCAGAGAAAATAATCAAACATTGAAGCATTACTGAACACTCATTCTGATTTATGACTTTCATCATCTTTGCTCAAAGGTTGTAAATAAAAGCTTGCACTACTACCCACTGTTAATACCAATATTCAGGGCTCGAAAGACCAAATGTTTTAGTGTGATCCACACTTTCCAATGCAGGTAAACTTTGTCTGGTGCAGTCAATTTTCAATGATACCTGCACCAGTTCAGGTACATGTATGCAGAAAAAAGGATTTCAAGCTCTGATTTCTCTAATGATTCCACTTGTGTCATCACATTGAAAAAGTGTGATTGAGGCATTTTCAAACATTTATTGAACACCTGGATATCTGAAGTGTATATACCTGATACTGCATACAGATGTAGGTAGGGTCAGGTACATAAATCTCTTGACTTCACCTCCATGAATGGTTTTATCTGGTTGATAAGTCGCTGAATAAGAGACTCTTTTTACACAACCACCAGGTTTATTCAGCTGATGTTTCGGTGACCCTCAGGGCAAATCTGACTGGTTCAAAGCACTGCACAGCACAGGTGATGCTGCTATACATGTAGATGTGCAATGTGAACTAGTCAGATATGCCCTGAGGAAACGCCAGCTGAATAAACCTTGTGGTTGTGTAAAAAGAGTCTCTTTATTCTTGGAATCACCAATTTTTTTAAATGTCACAGTGGTGGTCTTACAGTAACTGACAAACATGGGAATTTACATTACGATGTTCCTTGTCTATCCCCTAAAGTTGTAAATAAAAATCTTGCGCTACGAACCCAGCGAAGCAGCCGCTGTAGCGAGGAACAGTCTCACGTCATTAGCTGTGATGGAAATTTGATTCACAGCCGCTTCTTCCATCAGAGGTAAATTAAGCAGAAAGCAAAATAACGCTTGAGAGTTGAAGAGTTAATGTGCCAGTAAATGGTGCTAATTGTGGGGATCAGATGGGCTGGGGTCCCCTACAGGGGGTGAGATCACTCCCCCTCCCCCCTGTGTGATGTATTTACTTGGTGTCAGGACAAATAAACAGGAAGATACTACCTTACACACAGACTACTGATGTAGACATAATCATTTGGTGGGCTGGGGCAATTTTGTATACTGTTACTCATGAGCATTTTGCAGCTATCAAAATGAATATGAAGAACATCTTATACTATCATCAAAATTTGTTACCATTGTGGTGGAGTGGTTAGTAGCCCTTCTTCGGGACTGGGAGGTCAGAACATCAGAGGTTGAGAACATCATCACAACATCATGATACAAACTTAGCCACATTGTGGACTGTGTTCTTATTGAAAAAATGCCACCTACATTGGCTACATACAAATGTACATGTATACCAGCGAGAAGCAGTACTCCAGTCAGAAGCTCTGAGGAAGATGTCTGCCAAGCATTGAAATGTAAGCAGGTAGGTAAGAGACATTACAGGCTGTGTAAAACAAAACTCCAATATCCTTATGTTCTACCATCCTGATGAAATTATATTCAGAAAGAACAAAAGATGTTCTACTCAAAATACCACAAACCGGTGAATGAATCCCTCCCAGCCCACCGCCATCCCTGGCACATGTCCCAGCAGTTTGTAATGATGAGCTCCATCTGCTGTGTGCTCAGTCTTCATATGATGAAGCACCTGGCTCAAACAAGTGTCCCTCTACTGCTATTTATTTATGGGCTTAATTTGATACAGGCAACATCTGCTGCGAGGTGGGGTGGGTGTCAGGACAAGACGGATGTTTCCTGGGCCTTAAAACTGCACACCTGTCTCCTAGGTGGGCCACAGGACTGGAACTGATTAGCTGAAACTTCACACAACTGGATGCTATATTGTCACGTTCAATGAGTATTGAGCACTTTAAAAACAAGTGCTTCTGCAAAAGCTGACCATTTTCGCCGCTTACAGGCTTACAGTTTTTACGAACATTTTCCCCATCCTAGCATTTCAATTTACCTAAGTTACATAAATGGTTCTAGTTCTCATCAACATTGTATATAATGAGAGAACATGCACTTCTATATTTCAACTCTTTAAGTTTAAAACATTACAAAAATCAAGTATATAACAGTTTATAACCTGTTTTCTCTCTTTTAAGAGTCTTTTTAACAGAATAAAAAAATGAGACACAAAAGTACATTTTAACTTAAATTATAAGTAACGTTAATATATATATATATATATAATTTTTATTCAAAATCTCTTCTATGGCTTTGTCCCCAACATCTAAGTTTACAAACCTCGTGACATTCAACCAGGGCTTTAGCCAGGGCCGGTTTTACCGTCAATTGACGGTATTTTTTCCCGTCGGACGGTAAAAATTTAAGTCCTTACCGTCAACATTGACGGTCAAAAATCGTGGGTGAAGACATTAAACTTAGCAAAAAATGTAGCGAATTTGAATGAGCCACGGCGCGGGGTCTTTCCAAAGCGCGTCGCGTCTTTTCAAAACGCCGCGGGCCCACACATTTCTTATTTAAATACGGCGGGAAACCTGACTTCAAGGAACGTGCCGATGTCTGTTAACTCGGTTCTTTTCTTCAATGTTGCTGTCTGTTTAAACAACATGTGCTAACGGCCACATAAGAACAATGGCTCGACTCAGACTCACGCTGGTAACTGTACATGACAATAAGATAAATAAACAACATGTGGCAACGAACAAAGAAATATCAAACGTTTTGAAAATATACTGTACTTGAATTTTCATACCATCGCAAGAAAACGGAGATCGATCTACGCAAAGTGGCTCTATTATTTATATAAACTTCGTTAAACCACCTTCGAAGACTTGAGCGGCAGCATAAAGATAAATTTTCTGGAGCCGATCGCTGAAGCAAGTTTTTGCCGGCGTACGTAACTCCCTCCGCGGCAAAATCCCATATGCCGTAGCGAAATCGCGTCTCAGCACTTCCCCAAATCAACTCCATGGCCGCTAAAGTCTGCGAATGAGGTTAAACTTCCTCATTTCGGTTGAGAAGCGGAGCTACTAGTATAAAATCATGTGCATGGCGGCCATTTTGTTTGCTACCCGAAGTCTTCCGAATGATCTAAATAAGGAAATCGTCGGAAATCTGAGCCACATCCCTCGCTGTCGGCATGCGCTCGGGGCTGGCTCGGTGGAAATCGGAGGCTGTGGCGTCAGGACTATGTTTATTTGCATGGCTCGGGAAGCCGCCGCGGCTTGAATCGCAGCGGGATTTGGGCGCCGGGCGGGTCAAACAAAGGGAATATGAAGTTGTGAGGACCATATTTTTTTTTTCATTCTTCAAATTGCAGATTGTGTAATTTTTATCCTGAAATCTTGAAAATCTATCTGCAAATTGCAGACTGAAGACGGGTATTTAGAACACTGAATACATGAAGTGTGCGGGGGGGGCATGATGTCGATCACCGGATCATGATTTTTTTTCGCGTTGACCCTGATTCAACCCTAAAATAATACTCGAAGAGAACTTCAAAAGTCATCTTTTACTAATCATATATAATTGTTTACATTATATCATTTGATCAACCTGATCCATTAAAAATTGTCAATGGAAAATACCTTGCCAAACAATGCAATACCTATTTAAGTTAATTAAACACTCACTCATTAATTAATTAATTTCCTAAAATACAAAAGACATGTTGGTGAAAGTTAGGCACCCAGGTAATATCAATAGTTCCACGGACAGCTATGTGGGCCGGAGCTTCTATTGCGTGCGATCTACGTTTGGTCAGAAAATACACCCCCCCCCCAACACACACACACACAAAAACACCGATCCGGGAACGCCTGAAAAGGAGGCTTTTAATAAGCTTTGCCTGCAGCGCCTTGATTGGTCGGACGTGTGACCCTCTGGACTGCCGGCTAATGGAAATCTGAACATCTAGACTAATCCACACTGCTAATGCTCATTGACATAATTTATGCTAGTTTATTAAAATCCTTGATTACTGTGAAACTGTCTATAGACATGTCTTTATCAACATTTTTGGCAAATAATAAAATCAAGTTAGTGTTCAAGACAAATTAAGTTTGTTTTGTCAGCAGCTTTGTTATGCAACATTAATAGAACTATGATTTTGAAATTAGCAACCATAATGGAAAGTATACAAACGTCCAAGGCATAAATGGTAAAAAGTGCACTCGCAACAACGACATCTAGCGACATGCGGCAACTCAGCATGTCTGCATGGCCGTCGCAACAACGACATCTAGCGACATGCGGTGACTTAGCATGTCTGCATGGCCGTTGAAGGGTGGAACCGTTGATCCATCCATCCATCCACCCAATCTCAATCTCGTCTGAGTTACCATTTTCGCGCATGCGAAAATGGTAAAAAAAAAATCGGCAAAACAGATGACTATCGTCTCTATAAGATCTCAACCCACCCAGAAGACTGGACTCCTCACCAGGATGGACCCTTCTCTTTTTGATAAGTGTGGTGGGATCTTTAACATGCTCTACTCAAACACGGGACCTCCATTGAATGTCCTATCCAAGGGACGTCACTAACCGAAACAAGGTCCTCATTTTCACCTGAGTTGAGTGAGGAAGAAGGGACAACACAGGGATTCAAACCCAGAACCTTCAGGTTCTAAGTCAACAACCCTAAACACAAGACCACCTTGCCACCTAAACCATAACTCTTTCAACACCCAAGGACTTTCATTAGAAAAAGTTTCTCTGTCCTAGTAACACTATAAGGAACATTGCCTAGAGTTTACTACAGGATATACTGATGCCAATGACTTTGTAGTTCACCACTCAAATATCTCATGTCTGCAGCTCTCCATAGATAAAACATCAACCATTTGTCCACATCCATCCACAATGCACCACAAAAATAGATGCATATGCATCACCATAAAAGTTGTAAAAAAACAAAGTCCTCTGAGTTTTCATCCCATCCATTCACAATATTCTATTATCGTCGCTCTCCCACTTATCAATGCTGTTTGATATATCTCAACGGGACAGTAAAAAAAAACACGTCTGATAGAGGTATATCCCAACAGAACACATGGCTTAAGCCCTCAAGCAGTACAGAAAGCAATATTAAACCACAAGTAGTTACAGATAAATCAGGCAGTCTTAATTTCCGAAGAAGCGGGTGGGGAATCGTAACACATAAGCGAGTCCCCCCTATCTGTTGTAAGCTGGCCATTAATTCTGACGGAGACAAATCGTGGGATCACTTGAAAACACCCAGAACGAAGCTGCAATTTGTCAGAACGCTCCTGTACCGTCCACGGTCGCGATGTTGAAACAAGCCTTCGGGGCTTTGACAATCAGAGCTGTCATGATGGAGAGAGGGATGGTTTTGCTACAAAACCTGACATAATCTTCCCAGTCTGTTACCTGAAGAGATAAAACGGCTACCTTTCCTTGTATGACAGCCCAATTTTTTAACACTGATCTTCACCTTCCATGTTTTAAAAAATTAAATGTAAATCACTTTATATCCATGGTAGCAAAAATTTGCAGTTTGAGAAAAATGGACATGTTTGTTGGTACAGACGTGACTGCAAAAACCTCAAATATGAAAGTACCGCGAATGTAGAGTGATTTACAGTATTGGCTAGGGTGGTAACCTGAATATACAGTTGGCATTATTTGCTTGTTCCAACATATAGTTTGTTCAACTGACAGTCCAGGTACATGTAAAACTAGCCTGGATGCCAGACTGTGCTCAGGCCAGCCTCAGAGTCTAACTTTGGTAAAGTTTCCTTGGGGAGCTAGCCAGTATACTGGCCCTTGCAACAGTCTGGCACCCAGGCTAATGTAAAACCAACCAAGCAATGAAAGCAGACTGAAGACTGGATATTCTGCCTAACTAGTCATTCGGTATGGTGGGTTGTATATATCCTTTGCACGAAGGGCAAGTACAGTGAAACCTTGCCAAGAAGACCACTCAGAACAAATTCCATCTAAATGGATAGGCGGTCTTCTTGAACAAAAACAGATAGATTCAAGCCACAAGACATAACAGTACAAAATGTACACCCTCAGTCTATCTTTCCAATCTTCTGCTTACCCTGTCAGCTATCACCACCACCCCTTGTAGCAAAATGGTCTGGCCCAGAACACGTGGAGATAGCCAGGCCTTTCGGGTCATTCTACTTCTACGATGGGGGTGGGAAAGACAAGAATAAAAACACCTACTTGTCAACGCCTCTTCTGACAGCATCATACCCCCAGAAGGTGAACACCCCCATGGCTCCTGACAGGATGTCCCCCTGCCCTCCTGCTCTGCAAGGGCTGCCTTCTGCATCAGCTAGTAGAACTGAGAACAGTACAAAAACGCCACCTTGTAACATTGGCATGTATTGCAGGCCAATTAGCCATCTATGTCTACATTACCTTGAAACATGCCTAATGTTATCTTCCATCTAGCAATTGGCATCCCTCTGTTTGCGATAGCATATAGGAATTTAAAAAACATATACTGCTATCTAGTCATCAGAGGACATATATGCATATGTACACAATATACAAGTCTATGGTGACATAACACTTGTATATACCAAAATGAGTGGATGTATTTTTCATAGTAAAAGTCTATACAGGTATTATGAGTGATAAATAGTACATCCCAATCATTGAAAAATCTACATTCTATAATGGACTGTTCTGTAGTGACAGTACCTTTGTCTCCATTAGATATAACATCAGTCTGGCCCTTCTGTACAATGGTGAGGTTCCCCATAGCCTGGCTCAACTGTTTCACATTTTCTGAGGAGGCATTTTTCTCTGGCTGCTTCCCAAGCTGGAAAAGGAAAGTAGAGTATTGTTTTTTATCATATTGCATTGCATTTCATATAAATTGAGATATAGCCTGTATGAATAAAAGAATTAGTCTACGTATTTGTTGTAAACACAAGTATCTAATTTATTCTATTGTTACAATCACTGTCCTTGCCACATCACTGCTCAAAATCCTTTTTTTTTTCTAGATACCTGGTACTGGTGCACTTGCTACATAATGTAATCCAATACCACTATATGTTTGCTACAGCACCAGTTACCATGGTTATAGGGTTGGTTCAGGTCATTGACCTTACGTGTTTGGAGAAGAAGAAGAAACTGAGCCAAAACAATATATTTTCCTTCTACAGAGGTAAACATAAATACTATTATCACAAAACAGTCTAATGTACTGACCATAGCTTGGAAGAGCCTGTTGAACTCCACAATGTTGGGGGTAAGGATGGCCTTGTTGTAACCTGTGATGACTTCAGGACTGACTGTCACCAGCCATAGGCCATCCTGGGACACAGAGAACATTATATTACTAGTCTGCTGTTGTCTGTTCTACCAGTTCAATCTATAGTGAAGTGGTTGACTGAACTGGTACTGACCTTGGTGCTGACTATGCCATCTAGAGCTAGCAAATCCTGTCATACCACAACAATCTGATAGGTGGTGCTTCTATTCCACCAATTATCAACATAGCTTCAAAATCTGTGATTGACCAAGTCTGGTACTGTCCTTGGTGCTGATTATGCCATCTGGAGCTAGCAGGTCCTGCCATACTACAGCAATATGATAGGTGGCGCTTCAATGCCATCAATTCTCAACATGCTGTTGTTTTGTCATCCTAAACTGAGATGAAGCATGATGCTTTTTCAAGTAGCCAGTAGCACGATCCTAAAGAGAAGGACAGTACTTACTGCATCAATGACCACAGGAATGGACAGTTGGCGAGCTTTTGCAATGACTCCCTGAAATAAAAAAAAGGAAAGTATATTACATGTAAGAACTAAAGATGGCAGAAGCGTTTGTTACATCAATGTTAAAAATAGAGGGCATGTTAGAAAACTTGAATATAACTGTATGTCAATTCCATAAACCTGGTTTTCAAACTCCATTTTCAGTATTTTTCAAGTTCAATACATTTAGTGTAGCGTTAAATGCGCTTGAGGATTTGGTTTGATCCCTGGCATTCCTTGTGTCCTTGGAAAAGGCCCTTTACACAACTTTCCTCACACTACCCAGGTGGAAAATGGGTACCTGATCTACAAAAGGCAGTAGAGGGAGAGGGTTGGGGCCTTGCAATTCTGGGCCCTAGATACAGTGGTTCAGCAACCAACTGCCCCTATGGCATCAAAATGGCTACAGGACTACCTTTACACTTAAAACAAAATTGAGAACCAGCAAAGTGAATTTGTATGGCCTGACTAACCTTGACATTGTCCATGATATGCTGCTCCCTGCCCATCCCAGGTCCCACCACCAGGGTGTGTAGTCTCTCCATCCAGGTGGACATCTCAGCAACACCAGTCTGCTTGTCTCTGCAGATACAGATCAACCACACTAGTAGAAAGGCGGGCATTTGTCCATGAGCAAATACAGCATATTTCACTCCATCTCCCTCCCCATGCTACAATGTACTGTTCCAAACTCACACTGAGTTTAATAGTATATCAAATACATTTATGATCACTGCAACAATAGTAAGAATTCAGTTCTATTTGAGCACTTCTTTTTGCTTCTTGTATGATAGTTTTATTTTTACTTCTTATGATGTGGACAAAAGCTATACACATATACCAATTCAGTTCAATCCACACACCTATATCTAGTTTGTAATAGTAGATACTCACAGAAGTGGATGGACGATTAACTCAGGACTGTAGGACTTGATGACAGTCGCAGCATCACTGGTACAGAAGACATGGGCCAGGTCTGCTCCCTTGGAAACATGACAAAACAACTCTACTTTCATTCCTTCATTTTAAGTTTTATGCCCTCATTTGGAGAAATCAGACAAATACTTGAATTACCATAAACGTGTATCAAGAAGATAATATTAGTAAGGATGATTTACGCTGATGTGAATATCAAACTTACAGACTTCAGTGCAGCAATCCCAGCAAAGTAAGGAGCACCTGTATACCTGTGGAAAATAGAGACCCTTCCATTTAATACGAGAGACCAACAATGAGATGAAAAATGGGAATAGTCATCATTAGAATCTTGTACCAGTAAAAGCTTATCTTTTTAAACTAGTTTGGCTAAACTAAAAACCTAACAATCCACTGGTCATGACACAAAAGATGAAAACTATGCACAATACAAGTTCACTATAACAGGAAAATTCACCTGCTACTGTTTTAATTATGTAAGTGGAACTATACTAAGCATGATGTTAACTTACTCCTGACACCCCCCGACCACCCCCACTCTCCCAGCCTGCCCCTTGTGCCGGTCGTAGGCGAGGGGAGGTACGATGGACCGTACCATCTCCAGCAGGTCTCCTCTGTGATCTGTGCTCATGCTTAGGACTCCTGAAGAAAAGAGGGAAGACATTCTCTGAAGAGCTAATCTTCCACTGGTCGTGAAAGAGAAGACAGGTGCTAAAGTTGTATGTATAGATTTATTGTACAGGGGAAATTCAAGGCACCCTAGCATGTTGGCAGAACACAGTGTGCCTGCACGAAATCATTGGTTGTTTGGTCAAACTTTGTATCACTATACTGAAGCTTGTTGATCAAAATGTAATAATATGCCTTTAGTATGAATGCACTCTAGAGCTGAGCCTTCAATTGCAAGTTCAAGAAAGTTGCAGAAATGGCACTGATTCGAATAGCATTTTTGACATGACTCAGTAGTCATATGTCAAGCGATAGTGCTAATACACATTAGGAATGGGAGGTACAAGAAACCATAGAAAAGATTTTGGATGAATTTGCGTTTCGATTTAGCGGAAAAATACATGAACATAACTGCCCCGCCCCCTTTCTAACGTTAGACGTCAACAAGTTACAGACGACAAAAATGAAAACTGCAGTCATCAATATCTCATAAAACAACTTTTGACCGGCGTTTAGAGACTACAAACGTATCTACCTGGGTGTACGAGTCTGTGCTTGAAGTGCAGGCTGTGGTACAGGCCCCGGCGTATCGCAAACATCACCAGGAAGACGATAAAAACAATCGCGACCAGCTTCCGACTATGATCAGGCGGCAGCCATTTCGGCTTCATCTCTGGTAATATCATCTCGCGAGATACGGCGAGAGGAGAAGTTTTTCTTCATTTGTAGCCTAGCATATACGCTAAATTTGGTAAAATCATATCAAAATTGACAAAATAGAAAAATTTATATGCAAAACTGTAGCTGCTTTTTCTATAATATTGATGAAAAGAATGATTTTGATTTTGATCACGTGGTTTACAAACGAGATTTCACTTCTCGCTCGAAATTCAAAATGGCGGTAGCGTGTTAGAAAGTGACAGGTCGATCAGCTGTTTGGTTGATTTTTCCTTCATTTTCTGCGATCTCCAAGCCGATGGGCGACAGATGGCGAGTTCTGAAGAGTCAGACATATATGCGGAGTCGGTAGCAGAGACCAAGAGGAGGAAGGTAGGGTTTATACGCGGTAAATGACGATCGTTCATCTTGACTTTTCGCTCCATCAACAAAGAAGTTCGGTGTTTTTCAGAACGCGTCATAAACGTAACATTGAAGTTTGATGACCCTTAATCATGATCCAAGGGTCACTGTTATGATAATTATGCTCATACAAAAGGTTGAATATGTTTGAGTGCGCATTTAGGAACACGAGATCTTAGAATATTCAGCTCTTCAAGACTGTTCTTGAAACTAAGTTAACGTTACTTACACTTTTGCCCAACCCAGGAGAAAAGAAAGACATCGGCCAGACTGTTTGGTGATGTTCTGTCATCAGCACCCAGCAGCTCAAGGAGCCAGGGTAGGCAGATATTCTGATTTATTTGATTGATTCATTGATTGTTTATTGAAGTGTATGTAAGAGACCAAAGATTTTCTCAAATATCTGATTTTTTTTTCATTATTTATTTCTTTGTTAAAAGTTTGAATAATAAAGTCCAGCTCTATTGTGCGATTACCATGATTTCACGGCCAGTGAGTGGTTGGCAAAAAGGTGACAGTTGGGTGATTTGCCTACCAATAATTTGCATATGTCTTCAAATAATTTGCATGACTGTCTATATTATGTCAACTAAAACATTGACCATCCTTGTTGCATTCTTTTGGATGGTGAGAAACTACTAGTAATCTCTAACCAGGGGATGATTCTTCTGTTGCTGTAAGTCAGTACTTGTAGTATAATTTCCAGACCTTTCTCTCATCCATGTCCACACACACAGGTCTTTCTGATACGCAGCGAAGCAACAGGTCACCCAGGAGATCAAAGTCCAGATTCTCCCCAGAGGGTCTGACCAGCAGTGAGAGGAAATACTACAACAGAGCCCTGAAGGACCTTTATGAGATTATCAAGATCAGCAGTAACAAGCTGGACCTGTCTGAGAGTATGGAGGAACCTGACAGACATGGGGACTACCAGGGTACTGATGGAGATTATAGCCAGGGTGAGAGATGCTGTATGGCTCTGTACTTTGACTATACTTGGTCTAGTAGGGAAGCTCGTCGGCAGAACATACTGTGTCTGCACGAAATCTGTAATAAGCAGTGCACTTCAGCAAAACGTCTTTTGGTCATATTCGAATATTTTTAACTGATAACATTCTGTCTATAGTTTCAAATGTGTTATGCAAAATTCATCACGTTTACCTTAACATGGTCTAGCCCAACAAACTACTGCTCTGTTTATTCTTATTCAAATACATTCAAACACACATAAACATGTATATACGGTTACCAGCCTTTCCAACTCTGTCCTGCTCCTTGCTACATCCAACACCACAGCTACAGTACCAGTTACTATGGTGACAGCAGTATGGTCCAGGTCATTGACCATATTGGTTTGGAGAAGTAGAAACAGAGCAAAAACAATATGTTTTCAATTTCATTCTCCAATGGTAAACATATTAGTTATAACTGGTGCATTGTTCCATCCTTGTATTTGCAGACCCTACTGTACTAGAGGAAGAGGAGACGTTCATGCCCACAGAGTCCCTGACCATCCCCACCCTGAGGTCCAGTCTGTCCAGTCAGAATGACGAGGATTTTGACCCTCTGAGTGTCCGGAGGTTCCACCGGAAACACTCGGCCAGGAGAAGAGAAGACAGGACTTCACCAGGGAATGTCAAGAAGATCTACAAGGAGCTGGTGTCCATCAACAACAAACTGCAGGTCTGTTTGTTTGTTTGTTTGTTTTGCATAACTAGTAAAGTGCTGTTAGGTGTTACACACCTGTCCAGTTTTGTACAGGAAATACAAGCTGTATAAGTCCAGACTGTACAAGGTTTGAACCACTCACATGGAGATGGACTCCTACTCTTTTCGATAAGTGTGGTGGGATCTTTGACATGCTTGAGGTGTGGCTCTCCTCAAATGCTGGATCTCCGGCTTTACATCCCATCTGAGAGTATGACCCTAACTAAAGCAAGATACTCATTTTCACCTTAGTTGAGTGAGGAAATAAATGTAAAGTGTCTTTTCCAAGGACACAACACTTGGGCCTGCCAGGGATTAGAACTGTATCAACAACCCTAACCACAAGACCACCTTGCCCCCTTATTTCCCCCCAGGAGGAGAATGCCTTACTCCATGAGCGTCAGGAGGAGCTGGGTAGGAGAGAACTGCTGGTACTTGAGAGGGAGAGAGCTCTGGATGAGATAGAGGAACAACATGGAGACCTGAACAAACACTGGGCCATCATGCAACATGTAAGTACTTGGGTAAAGTATTGAAGTAGACATTTGGTTAACTTAAAGCATTAATGTTCAGTGGGAGAAGGTTAAACCTTTGCATTCCATACATGATATACAACAGTTACTATTTCTTGTCAGAATCAATAGAAGACTAGATTTGCAGTAAGCAACACTGGGTAGACATCTATTCCCATTTTATTAATAACAGATGATGTTCCCATCCCTGTTTACAGAAACATAAGAGAGAGTTGGGACAGTGGGAGGAGGCCTTGAAGGAGAGAACAAAGGAGAACAAGAGACTTCAGCACTCGTTTGAAGTCATGAAACAGGCTAACGACCAACTCAGAAAACAGGTAGAAAAAAATACAGTTTCTCTGCTATGGCTATGGAGGTGTTCAAGAATGGTGAGTTTAAGGCTTACCAAGTACAGTTAAAAGTAAAAATTTTAAGAGTATTTTCCACACTTTTCTCTGCAATGATTTGATCTTTGTTCCTAGCTAACAGAATCTCAAGAGTCAAAGAAGAAGCTAGAGGCCCAGGCCAGCAGTCTAGAGAGAAGAGTGGTGAACCTACAGGTAGGTTCCACTGAAAACATATTTTTTTCCCCAAAAAACTTACATGTTTTACATTGGCAGTCCTGGGATTGATCATGTAAGTCTGCAGGACACTTTGAAAAATGTGATGGTATGTAGTCACTGGATAAATGAAACGAAAATCAAGGACCCAACTTCAAGGTCCAATCAAGGTCCAGAATGCATTTGCTTGCTTGTCAAACTTGTTTTCCTGTTGAATACTTACCTCTCATACAATAAAAGGAAGCCAAAAAGATACAAGAAAGTCCCCTGTAATGTTCTATGTGTTTACAGAGGAAGCATCAGTTTGCTGAGAGACAGAAGGGAGTAGAGAACATCCCACCTCCCCAGCCAGCAGACACCAAACCAGCAAAACCTGTGAAGGAACCACCCAGCAAGGGCACTGAGTCAGCCGTAGCCAAACCTAAGGTATGCCAGGCAAAGTTTAAATTTTGATCAAAGAACAGTCTAGCGTAACAAAGTATTAAATCTGTTTATTCTTACTCAATCACATTCATATATGGTAATCAGCCCCCCAAACTCTGTCCTGCCACTTGCTACATAATGTAACCCAACATCACAGGGTTTCTGCTACAGCACCAGTTACCATGGTGACAGCCATCTGGTCCAGGTCATTAACCTTATTTTTTTGGAACGGAAAAAAAGAAACAGATCAAAAACAATACGTTATCCTTCTTCAAGGGTGAACATAAATATGTATTTTGGTTGGCATTTTTCAGCCCAGTGGTCTGTTGGAGATATTAGCTGTGCTGTTAGACTGGGTTTGTGAAGCCAATCTGCAGCAGCAGCAACAGTCAGACGGCAGGTCCACTCCACTCATCAGTCTACCTGCACCTGAACTCATACAGGACAGGTGTATCAAGGTGAGTCATAGTGCTCATACAGGACAATAAATCACTCTCTATGGCCCTAGCTCATCTGTAATCCTAGCAAGTTGGATTCAGCTAAGTCACATGCCTCAGACTTGCTCTGCCTTTTGGGGGTGGTTTGAGATTGAGCTGGTTACAATGTGACTTGGAACATTCAGGTACATTAATCCATGCTTAGATAGATTAGATTGGGCCCTGAGTCCAATTTGCAACTTAGTATATTCACCTTGTTCTTGCAATGGTTAGATGTAGCCCAAAATTCTAGGCATGGCTGTTTATTACTCTGCCATGTTCTTACATTCTCTTTCATGTGCATCACCTTTCATATCTCACCTGCGCAGGTGCTGCCACACCTGAGTGAGCTGCTGCACCAGGTGTCCACAGGTCACACCAAACTGCACCTGCCTTGTCTACAGTTTGTGTTCTGGGCAATGTTCAACTTACAACAATCTGACAAACAGGTGGGTTCACTGTCCCATACGTGTATATAAAAATGTACATTGTATCCCCAATTGTATTCTATAGGATATTAACTTTTCCTTTCTTCTCCAGCATGTGTTATTATCGGCCACGTACCGGCGCCTGGGCGAGGAACTGTACAGACCCACCGTGGTCCGCTTCACAGAGGGCGAGAAGAGCCCGGGCGGAACTGTCCATTCTCCTCGCGGGGGGAAACCGCGTACGGGAGTCTACTTCAAGAGTAGCAACCTACAGGTCCGACTGTTGTCTGCACTCATCATACTCAAAACACTGCTGCAAGGTGGGTTGATACGTGTACTGTACGTCCTAAGTGTTGGAATACAGCTGCAATACCAAAGAATTTTACTAGAGGGCTCTGTCACACTGCTGAGTTCTTTCTGAATGTCTTTTCCACAGTTGACTACCTGGCCCAAGTGTTTGATGTGCTGAGGAATGACCTCAGACTGGAGAAAGTAAGTTTGATATATTCACAAGAAGAAAAGAGAGTTAGCTAGTTAGTTAAAAGTTAATCTAGCCCATGTACATAATTGTGTTTGTGTGTACATGTTGTGTGCATTTGTGTGTGTGTGTGACACTGTGTGTGTGTAAGCGTGTGTGTGTGTGTGTACGCATGTGTGTGCATGTGCACTTGTGTGTGTGTGTGGAGTGTGCATATTAGAGTCATTATGCAAGCAACAAGTAATAAAATCTAAGACAAAAACTTGACCCAGAAAGCTAATTTGAACATTGTTGATTTCTGAAAATCAAGGTTGTTAGATTACTCTGTGTGAAGGATTGCAAATCAGTATGGGTGAAGTCTGCTGTCTCTGCTTGCCTTCTTGTTAAAAGTCTGTTTTTGTCCCTTCCAGTGCAAAGAGCTGTTTCTCCACTACCAGGGTGTGCAGGTCATCCTTCCCTTCATCAAAGGTGGAAACAAGGTAAACAGTTACAGAACATTAATTTTAAAGAGAGTAAAATTCCTGGGACCAAACGTTTTGTCCATTCTGCCCTAATGAGATTGAAGAACAGCGTTTTATAATGGATTGTCCAGTCTATGATGATAAATCAAAAAGCTGTTCAACCTTCTATTTGCTCATTCACACATCTTGTTTGTAATCATACAATGTAGGCTGGTGGACTGCACAGAGTCATAGACCATAAGGTCTTTGCCAAACTCTAGATTATTCACTAAGGTTCAAAAACTTTAAATCTACCCAGATCAACTCCTGTATGATCATGAAGCTCTCATTGCCGTAAGGGAGGACAGAAAAAGTAGTCTAACATTTACACGTACATTTGACATGTAACTAGTAACATAATAGCCGGGGGTGAGGTGTTCTGGAGTCAGACTCTCAGAGCATAATATAATAAGAGAAAAGATTGTGCTAAGGCCAAAATCTATGTTGATTACCTTCAATGGGTATAAGGCTTTCATTGTGATAAGGGAAGCCAGAAATACTCGTAGACTTAAACATTTGCAACTTTTCTCCATTTGGTCATTTAGTCATGATATAACAGATAGGCCAGGAGGGGCTATAGAGAGCACAATGTATACTATGCTCAGGCCTAAATCTACATGTAGCTTGATTAGTTTTGGTATCACACCCCATTGCCTTAGGGGAGGTTATATGTTCACAGTCAAACATTCACAAATCTGGTCCATTTGCCGTGGTCAGATGATACAGGCCAGACATAGACCATAAATGACATTGGCCAGAGGCTGTGAACTTGGTCATCACAGACCATTAGGTTATAACCATGCAACAGATAGGAAATCCTCCTTGATTAGGTTGAGTAGTATGAGTACACATGAAGATTTTTTGCTGTAGGGGATGCAATGGTATGGTCATATGGTATACATGTGACATACAGGGCTTGAAATACCACCTGCATAATTATATACAGGTCAGTACAGGAAATTTGAGCTGTGCAGGTACAAAATGTACATGTACAGAATGTATTTCTGATGTCTTACCAGTATCCAACCTGCACTGAATACATTGTATACATGTAGAAGTACATGTACATGATTTAAAGAAAAATATTTCTGTATATGACAGAGTTCAAAATTCGTATTCAAGACTTTCACAGCTTCCAATTTGGTCCATGCTTTATAAAAATTTTATAACACACTGATAAAGGTATTATACATTTTTGTACAGCTGATGCAGGTAGTATTTTGTATCCGTATGTAGAAGAAAATCATTTTGATCCCTGCTATATTATAGTCCATACATGTACATGTAAGCTGGAGGGATGTAGAGTTGGTGCTATTCAGACCACAAGGTCAATGCCAAACAACAGATAAAACGTGTGGGACTAAATCCAGCTTGATTAGCTTCTGTGTGAAAATGTCCACTGCTTTAGGGGTTGCCAGATATACACGCACAGATGAGTCTATCAAAATCCTTAGGTTCATGATTAAAGCATTCTGTAATGTTATAAGGGTTTGATAGACTAAACTGTGTCCATATCCCCTATGGCAGTAAATATGGGGGCAATAATCAAAGTGGATATGAACACACACAATCAGTTGGTTGGCAACAAACTTTTGGTCTGAAAAACTCTAGTCCACAGCCTTCTGGCCTATGTATAACATCAGGAATATAAATGTATAAGATGTCAATACACAATCATGAACTTACATTACAGATTTGGGAACTACTATCAAAACACTTTTTTTGTTAAATCAAAATTTGTTTTGAATCCACCCTGAAAAGACATGGTCTCCTAATATTGTTACTCTACGATTTGAAGAACTAGTACATTGTACTTAGACGTAGCCTTAAGAATTTTGGGAAGACTTTAAGACACAATCATTTCCATTTTCTTAGTTTTCAACGCCCGGTTTCACATGGTACCTGTGGGACATATTTCCTCCTCATGCCTGGAGAAGGAGGAATTATGAGCTTTGCTTGTTGTAAATTGACTTTTCGCTTTCTGGAGGGTTTTTCAGTTAACACATCCGCGCTCCAGTTGTCTGGCGTTCCCCCTTCTTTCCTGCGAGGGCTGTTTCATTCCAGAAGTTGTAAATCACTGGATTTATTTCTATCCATTCTGTACAGGGCTCACCTCCAACCGCTTGTAAATCAGTCGGTTTCTACCCCCGGCAAGTACAAATTATTGCTGTTCAACAACACTTGCAGGAGACCTTAATCCCTTTTCTGTTTCCTTTCGACAAGGGAGCCGGAATTGCATTTCACAATGTTACAGGTTAATCTTTGGAATTATTTTTCTGATGGAGGCCTAAAGATACGTGTAACTGTGGTCATGGTATAGCTACAAGTCTGTTTAACAGTTTTGTGTGGTAAGTTGGAAGGGTAATCAGTAGAATCATTTCTTTACGATATTTGTTTTCAAAGGATGATGAAAGAGCCAGGGGCATGCTTGTAGAATGAAAATGTTTTGAAAAGTAATCTATGATTTCTATTAATATAGAAATATTACAAATGGTACTTTAGTTTTCCACGGATCATATTGTAATTTTATATAAGTCTGAAACAAATTAATAAATGACAAAAAAAAACAGAAATTTTGAAACATAAAATTTTCTCTGTAATGCTACAGTACTATTAAAGCAGCAGTAAACTCAACTTTCTTCAAGTCGATATTCAGAACACCCCTAGGAGGCTGCCATTGATGTCTTAAACTTTTAATGCTTTCTTCACTTAGTTTCTCTGATGGGAAAGGAAATGTTCCTCAGAAGCCAGGGGTTAAGTCTGATTTCTTAGATGTTGTATCTGCCTGTGGAAAATTGTCAACCCCAAGCCTGCCTAACACAAGAACCATGTACAAGTACATTACAACTCCCCTTCCTATCATTGAAATAAGTCTAACCTGCAGGAATTGAAGATAATTAAGGCTACAACAAGTTAATTTGTTGGTTCTAAGATTTTTTTTTAGATATATACTCAAGTAGAAAAACATAATGAAAACAAAGCCCAAGGACCAATGGTTGATGCCTCAGGCTCAGTTTTATGGAGTGAAGTCAAGTTTTTTCTCCCTGCCCTCTACTTTTGTGATGTCTGCTTGCTATATTTTCACCTTAAAATATCCGAGAACCAAGGAAATAAATTGGGGTGGCCTACCATGTACAATTTGCAAACAAAAGTTTTCTTATATTCATGTATCCTGAAATAGTTCTTGTAAGTAATACCACCGAATGAATCTTCCGTTACCCAAAGTAAGGCTTACAGATAATCCCGTTGATAGATTTGAGATCTGTTAGCCGATTGCTTGGGGTAAGACATAGCAGGGATATAGAAGTCGAGGCTAATTGCAGCCACTTTTCACCGCTGGAGGAGCCGGGACCTTAGTGAGATCGTTCCAGCGCGGGGATGGCCGTGGGCTTGATGGAGGTGTGATCCAGGAATCTCCCGTCTCTCCCATCATGACGGTTTTATTTGGAGGTTATCAATTATAGGATTTCCTCTGTCTGCAGTGTTATCAATACTGGGCATGGCACGTAAGGAAGTTATACAAGTTTCTGGCCACATCAGTGTTATTTGTTGGTCCGCAGACATTAGAAAAATATAGTTACGTTAGTCTTATTAATTATAAGATTTTCCTCTATCTGCAGTTATAGGCCATAATTCATTGGTTCTCAGATTTGATATGTTTACTTGGAAAAACATAGTGAGAACAAAACCTGAGGACCACAGGGCCTCCAGTTTTACATGATCCTATCTGAGAGGGTGTCCCAAACCAAAGCTATGTACTCATTTTCAGCCAAGTCGAGTGAGGAAATAAGTGTAGGAAATAAGTGTAAAGTGCCTTTCTCAAGGGCGCAACACTGGGGCCTGCCAGGGATTCGAACCCCAAACCTCTAGATTCTAAGTCGACAACCCTAACCACAAGACCACCTTGCCACCTCTAATGAAGTATTGATCATCAGCATTACACCTGAGGCCTGTGGACTACTCCGACAGTGTTTTCCTACTAAAGTAGCCGTTAATCTAGCTAATGTTTCACTAAAGAGCTGGTGTTTTATAGTCTATAAACGGTCAGAGGTACAAATCGACTTTTCGTGCGATCGTAAAGCAAGTCAGGCGAGTAATTCATCAAGGAAATATTTGATGCTGGTCAAATCCACGCATGCAAACTTAATCAATCTGGAAAACTGTAAGGAAAATTGTCAATAAATTATCGAGGTTTGATTTCTTTAACCCTCTCCCTGCTGCCTAAGACCATTGTCTATTTGTTACTCGTAACTGTGCAATATTTGTCTCTCTGTTTTTAAACACTAGCATGCAATTCAGAGCTACTTTTTTTAGTTGCGCTGCCACGTGCTAGCGATTGTACTTACTGATCAATCAATAAACAATTATTATTATTAAGACCAGAACTGGTGCCAAACGGATACATGTACTTTAGCATTCTGAAGGTTACCTGTAAGCTGGGTCATGTGTCACCATATAAACCTTGAATAGATGTATTTTCAGGCAGTTCATCTATTATAAATACTAAGTTAAACACGAAAGTTAATCTGTGTTGGAAAGCCTCTTGACAAAGTTGAACTTTAAGTTGAGCCTGAGAGAAAATCTATACATACCGGTACAGTTTGTACAGTTTCTTAAGAGGCAACAGGGCTCAAAATCCTTTTTTCTGTATAACTGCATTGAAAAAAATTACCCACACCAGACAAGTTTTAACTGTACCACTCAAAATTTAGGAAGCATGGATCATACTAAACTGTTCAGAAATCATCGCTAATATTTATGTTAATAATATACTTCACAAGTGGTGACAGTCATTACAGCAAATGAAAGTCGAACGTAGTCTGACAGTGTATACATGTATATCAACCCAGTACATGGACTGGTGCAGCCTATGTGCACGTAGACATTACAGGTTTAATTCAACCTGCACTAACCTTCATATGCAGGTGGTATTTCAAGCCCTGGTTGAGTACAGAATAGTCAAATTCAGGTTTTTACCTCAGTTTTACTTTGGAACACCCAAGAACCAATGAAATAACTTGTCCTGTCCTCATCTCTAGTGTCAGTGTTACCGCCCAAGTTGTAGATAATAAAGCGATTGTTACAGCCAGGTTTGTAAATGAAAGCTGCACAGGAGTGCATGAAACTGCCGCTGGCCGGAGAACTGTTAACGGCCGGAAAATTGGACTTCTGTCATCAAATCACTCCACGGCTGTAAAGTCATAATCTGATGGATTAACAATTGCCCTTAGATACCAGACTTTTAAGCTTTTTAAACGTAACGTAGCTGTGTTTTCTTTTACGTCGACGCAGGTTAGACATCCGTGTAATGAGATACACAAGAAATTTTACAGTTACTCAAGCAACACTCAAGAAACAGATTGAAGAGTTGTGACTAGAGTCCGCCATCTTTGTGTTCACACTTGCAGTTTCGAGCCAAATTGATTCAAACCAAAACATCTTGAACTATAATTTATATGTACATGTACAACTGTACATTGTTGTACCTCCTCGAGGGGATAATTTTGGAATCGTTTTGGAGAAATTTGAATCAAATTGGAGTGTTCACATTGCAAAGATTGAATCCGTTTGAGGAATTGTGAAACAATTTGATGCTGAAACCGATTCAGTTTTTTAATTTTTTCTTCTCTGTGATTCTGCCCTCCCCTCCATGTCCTGGGTGGCACTAGGATATGAAATGTCACACCATTAATAAAACTCTGCCCTCAGCCATACAGTCCTGTTTTCTCACCTTTTGTGGGATGGACTTTTTATAAATAAATGATCCAGGTGTTGCATTCATGCATGGGATGATTATGAATAATGTCTACCATTAGTCAATGAAATATTATGAAAAAATAACTCGATCTTCCATTTTTATGATTACTCAAATGTTATCATTGCCCAGTCTCTCAAGAATATCAATCTTATTGTGAATGTAGTTTGTGGTCAAATGTGAAATGCAATTGTATTGTATGCATTGATAAAGGTTCTAAACCAAAGGCTTGAAATTAGTTTATATCTCTTTCCTACTCGTATCTTGTTGCCTCTAGATATGTACGTTGTCTAGCCACTTCTGACTTGGCAATAGCATCTTTCTACACATGCCTGCAATTTAAAAGGAGCAAAGTTTGCAATTTAATTTTCTGGTCTAAATGTACACATAAACATCCCTCAACTGTCATCCACAAAATCTGGTTTCTGTGATATAAAAAAAAATCATATAAAAAAATGCAATAAAACCTGAGCTAATGAGTAATTTTAACTCCACCGACTGGAAATCTGACATGCAACAATGGTTATCATCAGTGATTGAGCCTGCTAGGTATGTGGAAAATTAATGACAGGACATGGTCAAGCCTGTTTCAGTAATTCTACCTCGGAATTACCCCCTTCTCCGGCGAAATGTCAGGCTGTCCATTACAAAGCCACCCTGAGCCCACAGGTCTGCTGTGACACATTGCTAAATTGTTTCCATAACTATGTCCATTTCTTTCCAATCAAGAGTTTTAAATCAGCTGAACCAGGGTTAGGGGGCCAGCAGCAGTGGAAATGTCATCCTGGCCATAAAGCTAGACAAGTTAAGCTGACAAGTGATGGGGGGTTTGTAATTTTGTAACAGGAATTTTTTTTTCTACAGAATTTGCAATATGAGTCTTATGTGCGAAATAATTTTTTTTTGTATTAGAAATTCATGGTGCACACCTGAATAAAAAATTGTTTTTTCTACAAAATCGACAGGAGAAGGGTCTCTTAAGTGCTAAATTGTGATGTCTTCTTTTTTACGTTGCCATCCCAAAACATTTGGGATGTCACTACCTAAGATCTACTGAATGCAGTCCACCATTGTCTCTACTACACTGAATGTAACAGTCGTTTTGTTCTACTGGATGAATAGTTTCTCATTTTTTTCAGTGAAAGAACTAAAATGTTTGTAGATTATAAAGAAGTCATATTTGTTACATTGGGAGACTTTACAGTACATTATGTGTTTCCTCCATACAGTATAACCTCCTTCGTGTTTCGGACTCAAATTGACTCTGTTGTTTTGCTCCCCCTACAGGCTCTAATGGGAAGTGCAGTGGACATCCTTCTCCAGTTGTCAACTGAGTCAGGTAGGCAGGATTTTGATTCCATTGTAAACTGTCAGTAACTTATCTATTACTCCTCACATCGGATGTGAAAAAGCATGATCATCTGAATTTTGTCCTATGGTGTTGACAGTGTGATTGTTTTAGACTAAATGATTTATCCATCTGCAACATTGGAAACAAACATGTAGGATATATGAGACAAAGGCCCTTGGGACATAATTAAGCATCAGAAAACAAAATAAACACGGTTTCCAACTTGTGAGCAGAGCTTGTCTCAAGCATATCAGATGTTTCTTACTTAGAAGAGATGCAGTACCAGTAACCTGAACTTAGTTTAGTGCCTAGAACTGGTCACATCCGATAAAGGCATCCAATGCAATTTCAGGGTGGCAAAATAAAAATATTCTGGATGAGAAAATCTGTCTGATATTCACATTTGCCATTATTTCTTAACATATTTTCATCATCATTCATACTTCAAGTGTTTAAAATAGCCACCAAATAAATAAGCTCCATAAATAAGTAGAACAAGCCTACGATATTGAATAACTTTATTAAGGAGCAACTGTTTTCCATCAGTGTGCTATGCTTACCCTTTTAAAAGAATGACCAGAAAATTGACTTTGAAAGTCAAGTTTTGCCACCCTGAAATTGCATTGTAAAAAGAAAGAAAGTGTCCAACAGCACTTGAGACAGTCATACATGTAGAAACTCACAAAAAGGTGTAGAATTCAAAGACCAACAAACTAGCCCTCACAGATTCATCTTGTTTGTACGTTGAAGACAGACAGTCCAACTCACAGACCACATTCCTCCTCCTGCCCGGAGCATTTGCAGACTGTCAGGATTTACGACCCTGTTGTAGTCAGGATGAAGTGATGAAGTGTGTTACTTCCTGAGTACTTCCTGTTCCTGCATGATTACTGGTGTCTGACACAGAAACTGGACATGCTTCGCAGGGATGAGGCTTTCCACCTGTTCTACCGGCACTGTCTTTCCTAACTTGCAAACAATGGGATGTCATTTTTTCTTAAGATTCAATGAAGAGGGGTTAGAAGTATCATAAAGTACACAGAGAAATTTATACTGTTGATTATCAAAACTCATCTGTTTAATATGTACCTTCTCTTGCATTGAAAAGTGAGAAGTCAATCTTGTATTGACTCCGTGAAGTGCTACAGTACTCTAAAGTACATGTATGTTAATGTTTATAAATACACCTTTCAAATTGCTGTAGATGCAATGACCTGTGCTTAAGTTCTAAATGGTCAATTTGATAGGCTTGACTCTCTCTGTCTTTCAGCTTTCTTTTCAATCTACAAAAGGCAGTTTTGTTCCATTACCAGTAGTTCAAATGAGGAAATTGCTGATTTTCAATGGGCTTTTGTAACAATGAATGAATGAATGAATGATATTTATTTGCAAGTTCTTGCCCATGTGGGCTAAATGCAGTAGTTTCACATGAAACCTTTAGTACATTAAGAATCATTACTACTCTCTTGTAGCTTTCACAAACAGTCAGAGAAACAAAACAACTAAAGCTATGCTACACTAATATCTATCGTTTACAAAACAGTCTAACATATAGGGCTATACTATCATTAAATCTATTGTTTAGTTGTCTCTTCCTTCTTAAAACAGGTGTATACAAACTCACTTAAGTTTTTTTGTTGTACAATGTTGTCAAAGGATGTTTAAGTTTTGAGCATGAATACCTACATGTACTGCTGGTCCAAACTCTTGCTTAAAAGTGTTCAGAGTTTGTAAGACTTCTTCTTTCTTGTTGAAACTGACTGAAAAACTTGTGTGAGCATAAGTGGCAGCTTTCATAACATTTACCGAACAAAAAGGTCCACTGGAAATGTACCCTTTTAAAGGTCAGCAGGTTTGCCCCGGCTTGCCTGGAAAAATGCAGGCCGTCATATTGTCCCATCATCTAGAAATTACATGCCAAGCACTGATAAAGTTCTGTTGTCACTTGGCATTTGTGAAAGGTCCGGGCTGCGACCCCTCCGAGTGGTACACTTGTTTTTTGTCAGGCATGATTCATTTTGCCTCCCCTGCCCTCGTGTGTGGGGCTCAGTGTGGAGCGAAAATTCATCATGTTGTAGTTTAGATGATTTGACAAGGCTGCCGAGGTGCTTGTCGTAATTCTCGTTAGAGTAAACTTTCAGGTGTTGAAGGAAACTTTCTTGACGTTTCAAGGCCTTTCCTGAGGACGATTTCTGGATCCGTTCGCGAGGAATTTTGGCTCGTAAGTCGTCTGTTTTTCCTCATTTTGGAAGGCTCTTGGACACCATCCCACAGTGTACATGTATATTTTATACATGCCTTTTAAGCTTCAACTAGAAAGTTACTGGTATATTTATAAACCCTACATGTAAGCCTTAGATAGTCAATCTCTAGTTCAAAGTCTGTAGACAATATCTTCAGTCATCAAAATATAATGATTATAGGCAAAAGTAGCCATTCTATTTAGTTTATTTAGTCTATTTAGATTTTAGTTCAGCAGTAGGGAGAGAGAAAATTTGTTTTGTATAAGAGGGTACTGTAATGCACTTTATGTTCGCGTTAGCAAAAGTTCTCGGTCTGAGAAAAATGGACATATTTGCAGAACTATACATTCACGGTGGCGGCAGGTCAGCAAAAAAGGCGGCAAATTATTTGTTTGCAGTAATAAGTTTGCAGTACAGAAGTGACTGCGAAAACCACAATATGAATTAAAGTACTGCAAAAAAAATCATATTTCCTTATACAATTACTGATGACTTTGCTGCAAGTACAAGCTCTGAGTATAGTCCATTATCCAATGACTTTATGAAGTCTGACATGGTGGACAATATAAGCCTACGTTCCCTCTTGGTATTTACAGCGCAGACACCGGTCAGGGTCGTAGCCTGCCTTTCTTATTAGAAGCCACGGCTGCATTCAAGTTCTGCCCAACTATAAGTCAGGTGTCATCAATTACATCGCATCAAAGTCACCTGGTTACCTCTAACATTTCAGTTCTCATCACTCTATCATCATCACACCTTGTCACTGTTGGCCTGTTTTTAGATTGAGGACTTTTTGTAGTTACATGTAGAATTTTCAGGTTGGCTTTTAAGTCCAGAGGATGCCATCCATAAAATCAAGTTTGTGTCCTATCAACTAACCAACGAAGAAGCCAATGTTAGATGTTACAATGCATCAGCTTTTTTTAATCTCTACCCATAGTGATGTTACCCAGATTCCTGGACAGTTGCAATAAAAAATAATGACAGCTGGTTGCTCTGCTGCTGAGAACTTCCAATAAACAAACAAGCAAACAAACAAGTAAAATTAATACGTGTAGTTGGAGTAATGAGACCTGTGCTCTACTGCTAAGACCTTACAATAAGCAAACAAAACAAACGAACATTAAATGTTATTTACATGTGTACTTGTGTTTGTATTTTCCCCGTAGCGATGTTACCCAGGTTCCTGGACAGCTGCAGTAATGAGTCCTGGTTCCGAGCCTGTGCCCTGCTACTCAGAACTCCCAACCTGGACATGAAAGTATTGGAGAAACTCAGCATCATCCTACAAAAACTCTCCAAGATCAAGTAAGTATACATTTTTCTTCTAATATTTATTTTTGTCTTCACCAATAAGATAATGTTTTTAGGTCTTAGTTGGCATATGATGCAAGGTGTTGAAGTATGATTTAAAAGACAACAAAATACTTAATAAAACATTAAAAACAGTTTTTTCTTTATTTGTGAAATTTGTTAAGTGACCTGTGAATTGTCTTACATATGAACACTTCAAATGCACTTGAGCATACAAGACGTACATCAAGAGCATATGTTCAAATTGTACATTACCTTGAAGGCTGAAGTACCATCTGAAAGTACGTTCCTATTGTAGTAGTAGTAGTACGTCAAAGTCCGACTTACACAGTGACAGGAAAATTTGACATACAGAGTTAACGTATGCTCACATGCGTATTACGCAGTTTTTGTACTTCAGGTTTTTGCCCGCATGTAAAAAGGATCTAAGGAAGTTGAACTCTTGCCACTTGCGATTCATTAACTTGTGATGAGTTTTCAGCTGAATACACTAGGGGTGTTTAAAGCACTGTGCTCTAGTATTTTATGACACCTAATTAACAAGTAATTTCAGGACACCTAATCAAGTACTAGAACACAGTAGCAGGCAGTAGAAAAGCTAACATTAGGGACTCATGGATCAACCTCATTAGTGTCAAAAACTAATTAGAAAATTGATAAGTTCAGAATTCTCCTAACTAGCCTTCTGAAAGGTTAAAGCAAACTTTTCACAGTTGAGAAAAAAACTGTGTCATCTCTTGAATATTTGTCCATTTTGGTACTTAATGGTATTCTCTACACTTAAAGGCACCCTAACTGATTTCAGGGAAGTAAAATTGGTCATTTTTACAATGTATTGAATCATCCCTATCGCAGAGTGTATTGAGAGGCAAAATGCCTCATTCAGAATATTTTTGTCTTGTCGCCCTGAAATAGCATTTGATCACAAATCAAGTCTAGAAAATACCGGGGCCAAGGATTGAAACATTTGACTTCCCAGCTGACAAGGCTGACAAAAGAACAGGCTTTCAGGCTCAAACTAGGTCACAGTGCTCTTCATATGTTCATTTATATTGATCTATAGGCTTCTGACAACTTAATGATGATATGATATGCCTTTATATGATCACATGAATTCAGGCAGTCAAAATGTTATGTTTCACACTTTTCTGTTAGCTTTCCATAGACATTTTTTTCCAGATAAATCATTGAAAGTCCACACTGTCCTTGTTAACAACATTTCAACCAAACATATATTTATATTGATCTATAGGCTTCTGATAACTTAGTCATGTTATGACTAAGTTAAAACATTATGTTTCACACTTTTCTGTTAGCTTGTCATGTACATACTGTTTTTCCAGATAACTATTGAAAGTCCAAACTGGCCTTGTTAATAAAGTTTACAACTAATTCAAGCAAACGTCCTGAGTTCAGTTTTACATTCTGACTAAGGACACTTTCTTTTCTGATCTACAAATCAAGGCAGATTTATCCTGTAACCAATGATTGCATTCAGCAATCCGAAAGGGCAAAAGGAAAATTACACTGTTGATCAGAGAGAGAAAGAGAGGGAAGCGGTAAGTTGCGCCTAATGTCATGCGCTAATTGGAAACTGTCAGAAATGGATGGCATAATTACTAGGATTAGCTGCGTGGTGCGGGAGAAATGAATCTACCTGACCCGCCTCACCCCCGGAATTGGAAATAGAGGAAGACGGAAGGCTGAGCGGAGTCGCCGCGGACAATAGCCAGTGAGGAATCAGTCAATTACCCAGACTCGGCACTGGATCATTGGAAGTTTGATAAGCTTTCATTTCGAGGCGGTCGTTAGGCCGTGACAACGTGATCAATTGCGCCGCAGTGTTTCAGAAGAAGAAAATGGGACTGCTGACCTTTGACAGATGTATAGTTTGTTTTCGTTGGTTCTTTATTAGACAAGCTCAAATGAGCATTAAGCAGTGGGAAAAGTTTTTAACTTGCAGAAGTAGAAATATTAACTTGATAATTAAGTTTTGAAGCTGTCAGAAATAAAATATTCATGCAGGAAGAAGAAATAGAGTCCAGACTAGTACTGTGGACCTTTGACAAAAGCATAGCTTGTGATCCGTGGTTCTTTAGACAAGTTCAAATGACCATTAAAGCAGTGAAAAAAGTCTTAGGCTTCCTGAAGTAAAATATTCAGGAGAAATTACAGAAAGTAAACCTTTGACAAAAGTATAGTTTGTTTTCGCTGTTCCTTTATTAGATAAACTCAAATGGTCATTAAGCAGTGAAAAAAGTTTTAACCTTCTGCAGAAAAAAATATCAGGAAGCATTAAACAGCGGACCAGTCACAAATTTAAGTATACTTTGTTTTTGCTGGTTCTTGTCACATTCAATCATTAGTTTTAGGAAAAAAGTTTTAGAAAAAATCTTTCAGAAGAAAGAAAGAAGAAACTTTAAATGAGATTGGTAACAGCAGGAAACAAAGTAAATGTCCCTCTGGTTGGTCAGGGCTACGATTAACAAGAAAAATTAAGGACATCCATCAAAGAATTAACACATGCCCCATTTATCAATAAGCAGTGTTACATTGCTCATTAGTGTGATTATCAAAATGGAGACAGGCCAATTTGAGAAACACACAACAACTGGGTTAATTATATGCGTACAACAGTTATAACTGTTTTCTAAATTCAATAATGTTACAGTTTTTTACTGGAATGAATGAATATTTAGATGGATCATGAATAGATGGATGAATAAATGAATGATTGAAATGAGGTATGGGTTTTGGCAGGTTCAGGCCTGCAAGTTCCTTTTCTGAGTAAACTGTTAACTGTCTATTAGACAAGATAAGGACTGTCCATAACACTCCATCCAGTATCGATTCCTTTCTCTGTAGCTGCTGACTCCTTTGTCCTCATGTAATGTCCAGTCATCTTGTTGTGAATCACTCTGTCCCCTTCACTAAAAAGCAGAATAAAAAGAAAAAATGGATAATTTTGGTATTTTTATGTTCAAAGTAAGTTTGTGCATTGGAATAATTAGGTAACAACTAATAAGCATCTTGAAGTGATTTTCATGTATACTCTAGCAACATTGATTTAGTTTGATCAATATGTTCCCATTCGAAGCTCAACATCTAAGGGTAAAAGCAAAGGTCAAAGCAGGTCACTCTCTAATGACGCGAAGCGTAACGCTCTTTTGATAGCTAAGAGGGCCGCTACACCACAGGTTGTGTTTTTGTTCCAATCACACCATAGCCAGTGCGCCGTCAGAACGTACTGCACCTGTGCAAAAACCCGGCATGTATTGTGCATAGCACTTTTGTATGGCCATGCTCGCGTACATGTACATGTATTTTAAGGATGACATAGTTGTCAAATGTTGTGTCAGAAAAGATTTTTTGCAACTGGCAAAATTCTGATGCAAAGTTGACCAAACAGCTAACAGAACCTGTGCAAAATCTGGGTTTCACACAGATGCAGTGCATTATGCTGACGTGGTACCATAGCCTGGTTACCATCCTCCACAGGCCAGCTTAGTTACCTTCGCCGAGAAGGTTATGTTGTCAGAGGCGTTCGTGTGTGTCTGTGGACACGATAACTCGAGAAAGCTTAAGTTAAATGGATTGTTTTGATACTTGGTAAGTGGGTAGGTCTTGATGAGACCTCAAAATTATTACATTTTGGATCCCTAGTGGCTTGTTATGGTACTGCAGCTGAACTTCCGACTTTGATATCTCATGATCTAAACATGCTAGGGTGATGAGATATGGATGGTAGGTACAATGTAGCTCTTGTGCTGGGAAGAAGTGACGTGAGTTTAGGCCCCCTAGCGGCTTGCTCTGGAACTGCAGGGCTATCTGTTTGAAAATATTCTAAAGTCATAAAACTCACTGAGGATATCAGGTCATCAAATTTGGGGGGGTTCAACAGTACTGTTGAATTCTCAGCAAAGAGTTCCTAGTTCTCATTATAATATAAAACAAACTTGAAGACAAAACGACTGACTGCCTTTTGTCCATGTTTCCCCCCTACAGAGCCAATAAGAAGTACTTTGAGGTGTTCACCATAGGAAACATGCTGCAGGAGACGTACCGCACCTGTGATCCTCAGCAGGAGTTCCTGGCACTCAACCTCCGCTCCATCCTACACAACCTCGGCATGATCAAGCCACACTGATTGGTGGGTGATTGTCATGTGACCTGTTTTCATTGGTCGAGAGATGCAAAACACCATTATCATCACCATCTTTGCCACAATAACCATCATGTGATCTTTACACCTGTTTTCAAAGCTGCATTGACCTGTTATTGGTTACATGATGCAATGTCCAGTCATGTGACCTTTAGACCTGTTTCTATTGGTTAAAAGTTGCATTAACCTGTTGTCATTGGTCGCATGATGCAATGCCCAGTCATGTGATATTAAGACCTGTTTCCATTGGTTGAAAGTTCTAAAGCCTGATCATATTACCTTTAGACCTGTTTCCATTGGTTGAAAGTTTCAAAACCTGATCGTGTCACCTTGAAAAGCTATTTTATTGGTTGATATCTGGAGAGTCACCCTCAGGCAGTTGAGCTTGTCTCAGACATTCATTTGATGATTCTGACTTAGGGGGAAATATGCTATTCCAGTAACCCAAACTTGCCTTACACTGAGCAAATTCATTCCATAATAAGTATTGTGGAACAAGTGTCAGGGCTGATCATTTGGTGTTAACCACTTCCTCATACTTTTGTGTGTGGAGCCGAATTTAAACTGAAAGAATTAACAAAGTGATCTCGATCCAGTTTAGCTCACTGAAGAGCTACTCTTCCACTGGTCCAGAGAGAGAGAGAGAGATGGTATTTATGGGTTTATTTTCCACAATCAAGTACAATCAACAGTGGATCACAGCTTAATGTCCTGCCTATGGACTGCAACCCTGTCCATAAGCACGCAAGTCAGGTGAACAACACAGCCGGGATTCGAACTCCAAAATCTAGACTTGGTCCAGAATCAAGAATCAGTAACCTCTGGATGCTATACCAAATTGAAGTGGCAGCCACCTTTTAGCAGTAGGTACGTTGTCGATACCCGTTAAGCCTGACGCTAAGGCTTAGGATTGCCAACCATTTGCTAACCCGATCCCTGCCACGCTCTCGTGATCAATACAACTTAACCTGATCAATACGCCTGAAAGAGAAAGGACAGCCATGAAAACCTGATAAATTGAGGTATAAGGCTGGTGTATTTGTCATCACGGGTAGTATTTAATTTATAAACCGTAGGAAATTCAATACTGTACAGTATACAACATGTAAGTACAATACACCATTCAAAAAGACAACGCTATCCTGTCCTCAATAACCAACGCCACACCAATTTCATTTTCAAGGTGAAAATACAGCAAGTAGACATCATAAAGGCAGGAAGAATAGCTACTGTCTTGTACAGTCATGTATGCTACATGTGGATCCCAATAAAGTCAAGTCAAGGGAAGGAACTTCAAGGAAAACTTGACTATGAATGTATCTACTCGTGAAATAAGAAAATCAGATTACAGTATTTATTTTGCACTTACGTGTATATCCCAATTGAAAGAATTATTAAATGCAAATAAAATGTTATTTGTTAGTAACCGCAGCTATGCTTGTTTTGATGTTCACTGCTTACTAAATCATTATGCCACTGCTTGTTCCATGTTTCATAATCAGCGTTTTTGTCTCCTTGTTCATGTAACACATACTTGTAATTGTGCAGTCTACAGAATTAATGTTTTGTTTGTAGTTTTTGTGTTTACAAAAATGTTCACTGTTTACTTTATCATGCCACTGATTGTGTTCATGTTTGATAAATGTTTTCAATGTACATGTATTTGTCTTTGTGTTAGTTTAACACATACCTTGTCTTTGTGTTAGTTTAACACATACATGCTTGTTGTATATTGTCCATTGCCACAAATAAAAATCTTTCACTACGAACGGTTGAATTGCAAAGATTCATATTGATAACTTCTATTAAAAGTACCTGTAATTACTGTAGTTGGTTTCATTAACATTAAAATATTACCATGATTATGAGACTGCTGATTATAAAATGCATTCTAAAATTTGTTGTATGGCTGTTGTTTTATAACTATAGAATAAAGTCACAGTAACAACTTACAGGATTTTATTTGACGCGGATCGCAGACTACTGTGGTATCTATGGACATAAGTCAGTCATTAGTAAGACTATTTTTATTACTCTCATTTGGAATGAGCAAGAAACGCTATTATTCGTCATGCCTGTTAAAAATTTATGTCTGCGCAAAACTACCCAACGATCGTGGCGTATGGATTACTACTAACCAGTAAAGCATTCTTTGCATCATTTCCATTCGTAATGTTTCTCCAAATCACCTCATTTATGTATTGTAATGATCATTATAGTTTGAGGATAGTTTTTACGTGATGCAGACTCCTATAAAAGGTAGATCATTAAGCTGTGATAATGTTTTTACTGGCAATGAATGTACATAATACTCTGCCAAAGTAATGAAGTGATAAAAGCTATTTCCTTAATGTAGATTTTTGTGTGCAACAAACTTGTAAAAAAGGGAGTTTTTTAAGCTTCTCGTGGCCTGAACCTGTGGGGTTGTTTTAGGCAAATGATGATTTAGTACCAAAGGTTGTCAAAAAGTCACTGAACAGTCTGAAGTTCATTACTACTTCATGAAAAATCTCTAATTATCTAACAATCAAGATAGAACAAGCAGGAGTGGCCTGAAATGGGAAAGTTTAATTGCTTTCCAAAACAAAACGCCATTCAGTAAGTTCAAGGAACATTCAAGTACTAGTAACCATATATCAAACTTATCCACAGTTAACCTCGTACCAGTATATATACTATCACTATAGCTAAGGTGGTGATGGGGAGGTGGTGGGTCGAAATTCAAGCGGAGCGGACCGAAAACATGAACCGTCTCCCCCAAAAACAGAACAAACTGAGAAAGTTCGAAGGTCACGGGGGGAGCGGTCACGTGGTTTGTGGGCCGAACGAAATCTTTTAGTTGTTTCTAATTACGAAAAATTTTCATGCGGACAATTTTTCCCAAATTATCTAACAATCAAGATAGAACAAGCAGGAGTGGCCTGAAATGGGAAAGTTTAATTGCTTTCCAAAACAAAACGCCAAAATAAGAAGGCCAAACTGCAAAAGAAAAGAAAATGACCCACAACGAAAGAAACAAACAAAATAACCTCCCCCATACCACAACCAACTTAAAACAACATTGCAATCAACATTAAACACAATATAGCTACTAGTAAGTTGTGCGGATCTGATGCACCATCCTAGCACAGAGTTCTAAACGTTTTTCCAACGGAACCTTCAGGTATAGTAAATAAGCATCTGACTTCCAGTCACCTTGAATACGAATAAGATCAACTGGTACACCTGCGTGGAAGGCAAATGACGCACCTCCGCGACGGCCACTATGCAATGAATAACATCTGGGATCCAAACCAGCTCTAACTAGAATTCTCTTAAACTCTCTGTCAAACACATTCTGAGTTAACGGTACAAAGGTAGATTTGTA